ACTCGGAGATATGGCTTTCAGATACGAGTTCACTCTCAATTGGCTATGGCGACTTCAGCGCCCAAACATCTCACTGTTCACATACACTGGATCACCCTGGATATCCCACACGCATCACTCTAACACTCGAACACACACACACACTCACTACTAACTACAGCTATGGCAGCTATCGCTGCATCTAACCTATCACTATACTAACTCCCTCTCTCTTGCCCACTGCGTCCTCCGGGCTCATCTGCAGACCTCCTTGCACAAGTCGCTGTGGCAGCGCTTCCGCATGGCTCACACAGGAATCAATGAACGGCTGGGCGCTGCCTCTTGATTTATACTTCAGAAACTCGTTGGTCTGCCCTTTGCCATCAGCCCTTGGTGCTTACAGTCCCCCTGTGGTACTTGCTGGACCGGACTGGGACTGACTGGACCTTCCGTTGACTGACTGTGGACTCACCGCTATCCTACCGCCGTTGCACTGCTGTTGCACTGCCGTTTAGTCCACCACTTGCCTCACCACTTGCCCACTTGCCCACTTGCCTACCTTCTAGAAGGTCTACAGCTAAGCTTCCGGAACTCACTAAGACTCCTACGCTATAGACCTACAGATCGAACCCCTGCTGCCTATGGACCCACGACAAGCCTACCAACTGCCTATGAATACACAGGTCACAGGTTCAATTCCCGGGGTCTACACAGATACTGTACATGGGTAAGGTGAGGTCTAGGGATCGAACCCTGGGTACTGCATCCGCTACTGTTAAAAGGTGAAAACCGTTTCACTCCCGCCATCCTAAATTCGAGGTCCTCCGAGAAAATTTCAGTCCAAGGCTGGACCCTTACCTTTCTTGTCACGCTCATAGGCTCTGACTATGTCGGGAGCAGTCTCTAGAAGTTCTACTTTTGTGAACCAGCGGTCGTCTTCCGGTTCCTGATAGGCAAACCGGACTTTATACTGTTTCTGGGGACGACCTCTACCTCCTGTCCTAAACACATCCTCTTCTACGATGCCCTCTATGTCATAGCTCCCATCCATATCCGGTGGGATCATGGATCTCCTGGAAGGGAACTGTTGACTAGTGACACATGGCAGCAGCTTTGAAGCATGGAACACAGGGTATGTGTGGAGGTGTGCTGGAATCTCAATGCTGTAGGATGGTCCGTCCTCTCCGCCCTTGACTTCTAGAACCGGCCATGGTCCTCTATATGCAGGCAGTAATTTCTGCGAGATGTTTTCTTCCGGTGCAAACTCTTTTGCTTTGACCCAGACTAAGTCGCCTACTTGAAACTGCGATGGGCGTCGGTGCTTGTTAGCCTGTTGTATCATTCTGTGCTGGGCCTTCCGAAGGTTCTCAACAACAGTGGCTAACTCCTTTTCGTGCTCTATTGCAAACTCCCTGGTACCGGGCGGTAATCTGTGAATATGATCCCGGTTCAGTCCTTCGAACGGTCTGTGCGGTCTAAAGGACTTGTGCAACTCATTGGGAGTGCGGCAGGTGGATAGATGCACGCTGTTGTTGTACGCACTAGCGACCTTGGGCAACATCTCATCCCAGTTGATCTGATCTGGTCTAATATACATGCGCAAAACTTGCTGTAGGATCTTGTTCATCTGTTCTGTCTGACCGTTAGTCTCTGGGTGACGGCCGGACGATATTAACAACTTAGATCCGTAGAGTCTCATGAGTTCTTGCCAGTTCTGGCTGGTGAAACGACTATCTCTATCACTAACTATTGACAATGGGATTCCATTCTCACTAACCCAAAAGTCAA